ATGTTTGCAAAAACCAAACTTCGTTGGATGGAGAGGTATAACACATACATTAAGATGTTTAATTGATGGCATGGAGACCCATTTCTCAGCAATATTTGAAACTAGAGGTAAAATACTAATAAGTTGGTAGTTTTCTAGTTTGGTTTTATCACCAGCTTAAAAATGGGGGTAATTGTAGTTGTCTTCCAGACTGTTGGTACAATGGACAGTTTCTTAAATAAGTTTAACAATCAGGTAATTGCTATTCCAAAGGTCTCTTAATTAAATAAAAAATATATATTGTCAAGACCAAACACGTCTTTAACTTGGGAAGTCTTTAACAAATAAATAATAACCTCAGTAGTAGTATATCATGTGAAAGACAGGTTTGCTTTCATCAATGGGTTTAAAAAAAAAGCTGGCTGTTTGAAATCAACTGTTAGTTCATCAACTGAACAGACAAATATTTATTAAAGGTCCTGGTAACAGCCGCCAAATTAACAGTTAACCCGTCATTCACTTGAAGCTGCATATTATTGGACTTTATATTATTAACCTGGCCAAACAATTTGTTTAGATTTTCCCATATAATCTTTCCATTTTTATTTGCACTATTTATCAATCAAAAATAATTATCAGCTTTATTTTTATAAATCTGTTTTACCACCTTATTTCTTAGTGAGGTGAATATGTAAATCAGAAATGTGCCCTATTTTTTATCTTTTTTTTTTTAGAGCTTTGTCTCTCTCTTTCATCAGATTCCAAATACCATTATTTGACCAGTTTTATGAAATCTGCTCGTCTAATCTCACTATCTCAGGTTTTCTAACTATTTCTCAGGTTGGAGACAATGTGTTCAAGACAATGGTACTTTGTCTAGCTATTTAACAATCACCGCTTGCTCTTGCCGAGATCGGACGCATCTCCCTCCCTCTCCGCATTGTTTTGCTGCTCTGTCTGTCTGTGAAACTGCTTCTGAGCCTCTCTACATCTCTTCCGAACCATAATTATGGACTTGTTTTAATCAGTTGGTCCCTCAACACAATTGATAACATTTCTTCGAAGAGAAGACAGGCTTTAGGCGAGCCAATTTGCCCTGTTGGCACGCACGCAGCTGGATATCTCATTGACTTGGAAGACTTGATGATGTGTCTGTCTCTGCTGCCATTTGTGGATTTTAAGGACGCATATTTAATTGGATTTACGATAACTTGTTCCTTCTTTTTGAATTCG